ATGCAATTCCTTTTTTTTCTTTTTATCATATATTTTTAATGTCAGACTCCCATTTCTTGGACTTTGATTGCAGCTTATTACTTTCTTGGAGTAGGTAAAATTCTGTGTTTGTGGAACTTAATACAGTAGCTTTTAATAGTTTGATACTCCTCTTATTCTGAAATGAATGGCTTACCATATTTAGGGTCCTGATTTGGTTATGCATCAAAGTAAGGAGTGTATGGATGGCATGGACGAACGGAAACAGACTTATCATGGATCAACTGGTAAGCAGCTTGTCAAGTATTCCTGCTTTTGCAGTTGTTCCACTGTCTGTAAGATTTATATTCTGGTGTTCTTTGCATTTTACTTTAAAAGATGCACGTGACATCATTCTTTTTATGTGCACATATATTCTCAATTAAATCCAGGCTTGATAGAAAAGGTGCTCCAGAGTTCAATAAATGAACAAGAAGCTGAAAAGAAGGTATGCTAAGCATATTTTATGCCGATATTTTTTTTTTTGGTATTATACTTTTCTTAAATGATTAAATTTCATGATCTATGCAAATGGATATATTTCTCGTAACAGCTGTAGTACAAAACACGGTGATTCTTTTTTTTTTCCTGAATGTGTTAATTTTATTTATGAAAACAAAAAATATACAATGAGTATAAAAGAAGAGGAGGGACTCCCTCCAAGAAAAAAATACAAACAACCCTAACCAACAGGCTACCAGACCTGTGCTAGTTATACTGTGGTAACTAGAAACACCTATTTCTTCCTCTGGTAACTTTATTAAGTTCATAGTTTCCTTTTTTTTTTTTTTTTGCCTTTTTGGAATTATATAAGATATTTATCATGAGTAGTTTGACAATCTAGGAAAATATCTGTATGCATTCTTCAGTGCATTTACTCTGTCTAACCATATGGTTATTATGATCTACCACGACCGTTCAGTTCATACTTTTTCAACTCACTTGCAGTTGGCTTGAAATTTCTTTTCCTCTACTTGACATTTTCTGACATGTTTTTCCTCATTGTAGGTTATTGACTTTGTAAAGCAGCATGTTAGATGTACGTCTCAGCTGGCAGGAAATTCCATTTATGTGATTTTTGGATTTCTGAAGGTACGTGGAAAAAGAGATATATTGGTCCAGCGATATTATGTTCATATATTCGTAGGGAAGGTAATGGATTTACCTGGTACTTATGTTACCTGTGGTTGTTCCGCAGAACACTACCCAGAATCATTTTAGGCTTGGGTCCAGGTTTATAAAAAAGATTCAAGGCAAAGACAATCCCATTCAAAACCAGAGCCCTAAAACCTTGCAATGCATCCAATTCCCGCCAAACACATCATATAGTTAAAATTCTTTATCATGAATCCATGATAAGTTGGATGTGTTGAATTTATTTACTTATTTTCTTTTATTATTTTGCAGAAACACATGCCGCAGTTGGCTGCTCTTTTTTCTCCTGTCTTGATTGATGTTAGCACCGTTAAGGCTCTGTGCCTCACTTGGTGCCCAAGAGGTATCAAATTTACTCTATTTAATTCAAGTTATTCAGTCCACTTTTCGTGTAATTTTTTCGCTGTTTGAATGTGTTCTTTATTATGTTCATCATCATTCTTATCCACAGAGTACAGGAAGGCTCCGAAAAAGAAGCACGGAGCCATGTCTGACATCAAAAAAAAGTATACAAGAACTAAAATACTATAAGGAGACCTTTTTTCAGACCTAGGCTTAAGACGTGACTGCTATTTGAATGGGACAAAGGTAAGGACAATGATCATTTGGTGAATAGCTAGAAGGGTACCATAGTTACTCGACAGTTAATGAAAAGCTCTAGATAAACTCTTTAATTTTTTATTTTCTTTTTCTTTTTTGATTGTTTGGTCACATATAGCAATAATAGGTTGCATTTATAACTCCTTGGAAGTGCAATACCCTAGAAGTTACTTGAATGAAAGGAAAAAAAGGGTCACTCTACAGTTAATTGCAAAAGCTCAAGACAATCACTTTATTTATTTATTTTTTATTGTTTCCTGCATATGAGAGTTGGATTTTCTGCTTTCCATCATGTTGGTTGCTATTTTATTTATACGCACCAATTGCGACTGCTAGGGGTGAGGTTCGATCTATTATGTTCTTTGTATGACTAAGCAAAGGTAATTTTGCTTGGCAAAATGGAAAAAAACTCTGTAATAAATAAAGAAAAGTTGCTTTAGTGCTCTCCCGGTCAATCTCTTGGCCAAAAACGATATGAAGACACCCCCCCACTCAGGATACCGACCAGAATTTAGCTCAGCCAAAAGTGATGCGTGGTGATGAGGATGATTGGGTCTTACGAAGCCAAATGCGAGTGAGCCTGTGTTCCTCTTATGTATATACAGTGCATACATCTAATTTCTTGAAACTGAAAAATCAGTGCATGTATTCTGCAAGACTCCGTGGAGTCAAAGCTTTCTTTGTTCTCTCTTATATGCTCAATTTCGCTTTGTTAAACTTAACAACTCTCTCTCTCTCTCTCTCTTTCGCCCAACAAAGCTAGCAAGAAATGTTTGATTAATTATAGAGAGGAAAACAAAACTAGAAAAAGTTTTCCCAGATAGATTGGACTCGATCTCTCTCTCTCTTAATGGCAACAACATGAGGGTTGATTGTGGTTTGGAGCTTTCGGTCATCTTCCTACTTCAGCCGTAATGTCAACATTAACTCTACAGTACTCCTAATGGTATTCACAAAAAAAGAAAAAAAAAAAAGCAGTACTAATTTATTTGTTTTATTTCTATTTTCGTTCTTACTATAGGAGAAATGTGTGAGCTTATTTATTTACTTTATCTGAAAGAAATAAAGAGGAAATTCATATTGACTAATTCAGGAGAACTTAACTTTTTCCAAGTTTGTGGATTGTATAGTTGCTTGGTTCTTGGGAAAATGTGTGGCAAAGGTAAAAAAAAAATATATGAATTTTATATTTAAAAAGAATTTTCCATCATTTGGGTGGCAGTGCAATGAAACCCAATCCCAGCTCTGTAAATTATATTTGATATGACTCTGTTTGGTTGTTTAGAAAATCTGCATATAGCAAAAGATATTTAACTTCATGTTGTAAGAATTTCCCATCATTTAAAAGCCAACCAATGTAACAAAATTTCTACTCCACTGAGCTTACTGGAACTATGTGGTTGAATTGAGCTGAAATTCTCATTCATTGGGTTTTTTTTTTTCATTGATTAATTTTGAAGTGTTTGACATGTAGCATACTATGGTGTTCGTGTGTCACAGATGGTCTGTAAATTAGTGAATTCACACCTAAAATCTGTCTGTTTTGCCGTGCAAGAATCATCATCATCGACAGGTAAATTTTTGAGACTCAATGCATACGGCTTGATTTAATTTCCGGTATATCTCCAAAAAGTTGATTGTGAATAGATATATTTGTTGTCCTTGTCTTTAAAATTAGTTGCTGCTGAATTGGAGGGAAAGACCACCAAGAAAGCTGCTCTGGCAAAGCCAAAGCCTGCTGCAAAAGCTCCAGCCAAGCCGTTACCTGAGATGATAACGGAGGATGTGATTCCTTCATTGAAAGCGATTCTCAGAAGCTCACATCTACTGTAATTAGGCTCCTAGCTCGGGGAAAAAAAAAGTAGGAGCCACTTGGGGCATGTTTGATTTTTATTAAAATTGTTGATATCTAATCACATTTGTTATATTGTCAATATTCACAATATATATATATATATATATATATATATATATATATATATATATATTTACATTAATTATGAGTCTACTATGAACAAGTGCGTGCCTGGTGCATTGTAATTCAATGGTGCCATTTGAGTATTAGAGGAAGATAGAATCATCCTTGCAGGCCCAAAAAATTCATTGTCATTAACAGTGCCCAAACATAACCAGCTTCCAGTGCCTAAAGAATTCATTGTTCCTCTATAGCAACGATCAGTGCCCAATTTTTTTTGAAAAAAAAAACTCTGATGTAAATTTCAATGTTGCAACACTTTTTTTAACCAAATATGTATTTTTTTAATTTTTGCTTTTAAAATTCATGTTAACAAAATTTACGTGAAATTAGAAACGCAAAACAAAAATGACCGGGCCCTTGCTCTTTGGTTGAATCTAAAATGAATTAAACTCATTAGCAAATACGTGAAATATTTTTAGTTGAAAATATTTTCAAATTCTAATTTCATTACGAGATGTTTGATCTTTTAAAGGTACACGATTTATATTAATTAAAGCGTTTGTTAAATCAGGAGTGACTTTTGCTAATGTATCTTCTGCATTAAAACAAAAAATTATCTTGTATGAATTGATTTCTTTTTCTTCTCTCTTATCCTACACGAACTTTTATCATCCACAAATGTGTATTGTTCAAAATAAAAAAATTTCCACATAAATGAGCTTCGGGTACATGAAAGAGCTAGGCATCTTATGCTATAAGGTTCAGAAAGCAAGAGGCAACATGATGGTGATTGGAGATTAGTATTGCATGCTTTATTGCAAAGCCACCACTAATCTAGTTGCCTTTATATATTCCTTCTCTTTTAAATAAAATACTATTCATTTTTTAATCTTCATAATTTCTAATTATTAAATTAATCTCCACCACATCCTAAATCCTGGAAAAACATCCTATGGTATTTAGCGTGATAGCAGAGGTCCTACACAGCAAATAACAGAGTTAAAAACCATACATTCATGTCACAAAGTATATATATATATATATATATATATATAAATATAAAACAAAAAGAAGAGAGAGAGAGAGAGAGAGAGAGAGAGAGAGAGACAGTATTGCTGAGATAAGACCTGATAATCATATATTAGTTTAAGTAATCAATCAATACTGATAGGATCATGGGACAACAAACCCCCATGGAAGCAATGCATATATGCACTTTTTTTGTAAAGTAAAAGTGAAAAAGATAAAGAGCCAATGTGTCATGATGTTGGGGCATTTATCTATAATTAAGAACCCTCAACTCATTAAATCATTCAGGTAACATTTGGAGGCCTCTCACTCACACACACACACACACACAAGCACACACATTACAAACACATCTTCTTGCTAATTGCTATACGAGATTACTTGATCAAACATTAGAACAATGCCAACCTCTTCATATATCTTCTTGTTTCTATGCCTAATGCACTGTCTCTCCTTCACAAGTACATCCTCTGGTTCATCTTTTTCTTGTATATGTATTAATTCATTCACGAGTCCATAAAAAAACTGTAAGATTTTTATTTTTTATTTTTCTTTTATGATTTTTGTGTGCTTTTGGTTGCAGATGGGGCTCAAATCATCTTAGTTAACAACTGCAAGGAAAGCTTATGGCCTGGAATACTCGGCGGTGCAGGCCATCCTACCCCTAAAGATGGTGGTTTCCATCTAGGCAGCGGCGAGGAAGTAGTCATGGACGCGCCTGATAAGTGGTCAGGGAGGATATGGGGCAGACAAGGTTGTTGTTTTGACAATAATGGTAAGGGCACATGTGACACCGGAGATTGTGCAGGCGGACTACACTGCCAGGGCACAGGCGGTGTACCACCTGCAACGGTGGTGGAGATGACACTTGGGTCATCAACCTCACCCTTGCATTTCTATGATGTGAGCTTGGTTGATGGTTTTAACTTGCCAGTTTCAATGGCTCCGGTTGGGGGTGGAATTGGATGTGGCGTGGCGTCGTGTGAAGTTGATTTGAACATCTGTTGTCCATCAGCATTGGAAGTCAGGAGAGGAAGCAAAGTGGTGGGGTGTCAAAGCGCATGCTTGGCTATGAAATCAGCTAAGTATTGTTGCACTGGTGATTATGCAAACCCCAAAACTTGCAAACCAACTCTGTTTGCCCATCTTTTTAAGGCCATTTGCCCAAAAGCCTATAGCTATGCTTTTGATGACTCTTCCAGTCTGAACAAATGCAGGGCCTCGCGGTATGTTGTCACCTTCTGTCCTCCCAAATGAGACCAAATTAAGAAAGCACTCTTGGCTTCACAAGGAAGTTGTGATTTGGTACTTAAGGAACTGTTGTTATACTTTTGATTAGGTAATAGATTTGGTTTAGTTTGTGAATTTTTGTTAAGCTTCATATGGAAGATCATGGGCTGAAAAAGAATGTATGGTGATACTAGTTGTTTCTCCTGTGGATCCAAGGGACCTCATGTGAGATGTACTCAGTGATAATATAAATATCTGTAGTTTGGCTTTTCTTCTTCCTCGGCAATATTTAAATTTAAGATATACAATAAATACTAAGCACACATAACTTCCACAAAATAGGTGCCAAATACAACTTTAAGACAACAGATTGAAGAAGAATAGATAATACAAACAAATCCGTCGAAAAAAAAAAAAAAAACAGATGTCAATCCGGGACAGATTAACAAAGAACAACCCGAATAACCTGAGCAATTATATATAGTCACACACACACATATATATATATATATATATATATATACTATTATTAAATGTACAAAGAGTTTCAGTTTTAGTAATTCAGTATTTATTTATTTATATAAAAAAATATTTATTAATTGATATAAAACTAGTTTTTCTGGCCCGGCCCAGTTATGATTATGTCATTATCCAGAGAGGACACATGTCATCATCCTATTAATCCAAGAAGCCTATAGATAGAGGCATGGAGGAAGGAGAAAGGAGGAAAAGGTACCGAAATTGAGAATTCTAGAAATCTAGAATTCCAGAGTACAATACATCAGTATTTATTTATTTTTTAGTATTTTAGTATTTATTTATTTATATAAAAAAATATTTATTAATTGATATGAAAAGAGTTTTTATAAAAAAAAAATCTACCTAATAAAATGTAAATGAACCTATTTATCTATTTATTATTACGAATTTTTTAATAAAAGCAAATTTAATTAGACAAGAATTATTAAAATAAAAAATACTTATTAATTGATATATAAAATAAAATAATTTTTCTAAAACTCTACCACAAATTAGCTTTTATTATAAGTTTTTTAATAAAATGAAATCTAATTAGACAAGGATATAAGTTAAAAAAATAAAATAATTTCTATAAAACTCTATTACAAATCACTTATTTTATTTTCAATAAAACTCTATCACACCAGACAAAAAACTCTACCACAAATTAACTTTTATTATAAGTTTTTTTAATTAAAAGTAATCTAATTAGACAATAATTATTAATATATAAAAATATTTATTATTCATATAACAAAAGTTTTTAAAAGACTTTCTATTACAACTCACATCTCTTACGAGAAATCATTCGCGATGACCGAAATAGGACACTTCTAAGCAACGAAGAAAGTGCGGGCGAACTGGGGATAAAGACAGAGGAAAGATATAGCAACGGGCTACTGGAATGTTTACCAAGAATAACAGCTTTGACGGAGTTACGTGGATAGGTGCCCAGATCATTCTTCATCTATTTATTATGAGGTTTTTGAATAAAAGAAAATATAATTAAACAAGAATATATTTAAATAAAATAAAAAATTTCTATAAAATCTACCATCAATTAACTGTTTTATTTTCTATAAAACCCTATCAAATTATCTATTTATAATGACATTTTTTTTTTTTAATAAAATAGAATCTAATTAGACAAAAATATATTTAAACAAAATAAAATAATTTTTATAAATCTCTACCACAAATTAGCTATTTTATTTTCTATAAAACTCTATCACATATAACATATATTTATCTATTTATTATGAATATTTTTACAGAAAATAAAATAATTTTCAAAAAAATTCTACCACAAATTATCTATTTTATTTTCTTTAAAACTCTATCACATATAACCTGTATTAAAATATTTATTATGAGTTTTTTAATAAAAGGAAATCTAATTAGACAAGGATATATTTATAGAAAATAAAATAATTTTTTAAAAGAGTTTATATAAAACTCTAATACAAATTACCTATTTATTTTTTTATTATGAGTTTTTTAACAAAAGAAACTATAACTAGACAAGAATTATTAATATAAAAAATATTTAATAATTGATATAAAAAATAAAATAATTTTTCTAAAACTCTACCACAAATTACATTTTATTATGAGTTTTTAATAAAAGAAAATCAAATTAGACAAGGATATATATATTTAAAGAAAATGAATAATTTATATAAAATTCTACCACAAATTACCTATTTTATTTTCAATTAACTCTATCATATTGATCAAGATATATTTAAAGAGCTTCTATAAAACTCTAACACAAATTACCTAAACTCTACCACAAATTAACTATATTTTTTTTCTTTAAAACTCTATCACATATAACAAATTACCTTGTATTATGAATGTAAGTGTTTCAGTATTTATTTATTTATATAAAAAATATTCATTAATTGATATAAAAATAGTTTTTATAAAAATAGTTTCTATAAAACTCCAAAAATTACCAAATAAAATTAATCACAATAAAATACTTATTAATTGATATAAAAAGGTTTTTATAAAAATAGTTTCTATAAAACCCTAAAAATTACCTTATAAAATCAATCACAATAAAATATTTACTAATAAATATAAAAAGAAGGCATAAACTCGAATTCCAGAGTAAAATACAGAAGTTATAAAAAAATTATTTATTAATTGATATAAAAAGAGTTTTTATCTATACTATTATTAAATATGCAAAGAGTTTCAATATTTATTTATTTATACAAAAAATATTTATTAATTGATATGAAAAGAGTTTTTATTAAAAAAAAAAAAAAACCCTATAAAACTCTAAAATCTACTTAATAAAATTCAAATTAACCTATTTATCTATTTATTATTATGAATTTTTTAACAAAAGAAAATCTAATTAAACAAGAATTATTAATATACAAAATATTTATTAATTGATATATAAAATAAAATAATTTTTTCTAAAACTCTATCACAAATTAGCTTTTATTATGACTTTCTTAATAAAATGAAATCTAATTAGATAAGGATATATTTAAAGAAAATAAAATAATTTCTATAAAACTGCATCACAAATTACTTATTTTATTTTCAATAGAACTCTATTACATTAGACAAAGATATATTTAAAGAGATTATATAAAACTCTAAAACAAATTACCTATTTATTATGAGTTTTTTAATAAAAAAAATCTAATTAGACAAGTATCATTAATATAAAAAATTATTAACTAATTGATATAAAAAGAGGTTTTAAAAGAGTTTCTATAATAGTCTAACACAAATTACTTATTTAACTATTTGTTATGAGTTTTTTTTTATTAAAAGTAAATCTAATTAGACAAGAATTATTAATATAAATTTTTTTTATTAATCAATATAAAAAGAGTTTTTAAACGACTTTCTATTAAATTCTAACACAAATTACCTATTTAACTATTTGTTATGAGTTTTTTAATAACAGAAAATCTAATTAGAGAAGAATTATTAATATAAAAATATTTTTTAATTGATATAAAAAGTAAAATAATTTTTCTAAAACTCTACCACAAATTACCGTTTATTATGAGTTTTTTTTTTTTTTTTTTTTAAAATAAAAGGTAATCTAATTAGAGAAGAATTATTAATATATAAAAATATTTATTAATTCATATAAAAAGAGTTTTTAAAAGATTTTCTATAAAGCTCCAACAAATATTACCTACTTATCTATTTATTATGAGTTTTTTTAATAAAAGAAAATATAATTAAACAAGAATATATTTAAATAAAATAAAATATTTCTATAAAATCTACCACAAATTTGCGATTTATTTTCTATAAAACTCTATCACATTATCTATTTATTATGACTTTTTTAATAAAATAAAATCTAATTAGACAATAATTTATTTAAACAAAATAAAATAATTTTTATAAAACTCTACCACAAATAAGTTATTTTATTTTTTTATTATAAAATTCTATGACAAATAACCCGTATTTATCTATTTATTATGAATATTTTTACTAAAAATAAAATAATTTCTATAAAACTGTACCACAAATTATCTATTTTTTTTTTTAAAACTCTATCACATATAACCTGTATTTATCTATTTATTATGAGTTTTTTTAATAATAGAAAATCTAATTAGACAACGATATATTTAAATAAAATATAATAATTTTTTAAAAGAGTTTATATAAAGCTCTAACAAAAATTACCTATTTATCTTTTTATCGTGAGTTTTTTTAATAAAAGGAAATATAACTAGACAAAATTATTAATATAAAAAATATTTAATAATTGATATAAAATAATTTTTGTAAAACTGTACCACAAATTAACTTTTATGATGAGTTTTTTAATAAAAGAAAATCTAATTAGACAAGGATATATATATATTTAAAGAAAATAATTAATTTATATAAAATTCTGCTACAAATTACCTATTTTATTTTCAATAAAACTCTACCACATGAGATAAGGATATATTTAAAGAGTTTCTATAAAACTCTAACACATATTAACTAATTTATTTTCTTTAAAACTCTAAGACATATAACTTATATTTATCTATTTATTATGAGTTTTTTAATAAAAGGAAATCTAATTAGACAAAGATATATTTAAAGAAAATAAAATAATTTCTATAAAACTCTACTACAAATTACCTATTTTATTTTCTTTAAAACTCTATCACATTAGATAAGGATATATTTAAATAAAATATATAATAATATAATAATACATATAAAAAAATATAAAATTGTAACAAATTTCAGCATTTATTTTTTAATATAAAAAATATTTATTAATTAATATAAAAAAAGAACTCTATCACATTTAACCCCTATATTTATCTATTTATTATGAGTTTTATTAATAAAAGAAAATCTAATTTTACAACTATATATTTAAACAAAATAATATAATTTCTCTAAAAGTGTACCACAAATTACCTATTTTATTTTTAACAAAACTCTATCACATTGGATAATGATATATTTAAAGAAAATAAATATAACCTAGGGTCTTCCAAAAACCACAAACTCCATATAATAAATTTTTATATCAATTTCAATCTAATGTATGATTAGTACAATTGGATTTCTATTTTAAAATTTAATTTAAAATTAATATAATTGAATTTCTATTATAAATTTAATTATACTAAATTTCAAATTACCTAATAAAATTCAAATCTATATATATATATATATATATATATATATATATATATATATATGTATGTATGTATGTATAATTTTTTAAATATTACCTAATAAAATTCAAATTACCTAAAAGAACTTATTACTTTGCAAAACTTAAACTCTACCACCAATTTCAGTATTGAAATAGTTTTTTTTTTATTAATTAATAAAAAAATAAATTATAAATATTTCAGTATTAATATAAAAACCTAAACGAATTTATTACTTTACAAAACTCAAACTCTACCACCAATTTCAAAATATTTCTGTATTTATTTATCACTATAAATAAAATTATTAATTAATATAAAAAGGTTTATTGTTACAAGTTTCAAATTAACAATAAAAAAAAAATTCTATAAGTTAGAAAACATTCACCACGTCACGTGCCTTTTCCTAATATATATATATATATATATATATATATATTTCATTACTGTCCACATTTAATCAATTAGTAATACTATGTCTTTAATATTCCAGGAACATTAGTTTTCTTGAAACACAGCTGCGTTAGGGACTCCAATTCCTAACTTATGTGAATTGATTTTTTATTTATTTTTTGTATTTTTTCTTTTGTCCTATTGCAACTCAGATAATATCAATTCCCAAATTAGTTAATTGACTAGCAAGAACTATCCTCCTTGGAGCCACCAAAGCAAAGTTTCATAACATCCAAAAGTGGCAAATTCTCCTGGTACTTGCCAATGTGAAAAATCCAAATATCAGTGTTTGTACACAGGGAATCACTTTCAAGAGAAGGAATAGATTCCCCTAAACAAATAAAAACTATCAGATCTCATTTGCCTATATATTCATGAAAGCGGCTAGAAGATGCTTCAAATTCTATACTAATAAATAAGGGTTTCAAGCAATATTTACCCACATATATATCATCTCTACCAGTGCCCGAAAGGTACATAAGAAACCATGATGACATGCCCCAAAGTACTGATGCCACTCATCTTTCCTCTGAGATTCCCCCGTTATCATTCATTGCTCTCAGGTGGCCACAAGGAGATTAAGAAACTCGAATTGGCATGCAAAGAATGGGGCTTCTTTCAGGTAATCATGAAATTACTTGACACAATTACACACCAAGAAGCATTTCCTAGAAAAGGAATTGGAAGGTCCCATAGAAGATAATTGTGTTACAGTGTTGTGGACAATTTACACATACATATTGCATTTTAATTCCATGCTACAGTCCCCTGCTTCTAGAAATTCATTTAAAATTAACATAGTTGAGTATTTTATATTCGTTGTGTACTTTTTAAATCCAAATACTCTGTAGGTGCTAAATCATGGTGTTGCAAAAGAAGTGGTGCAGAGTTTTGAGGATGCGATGGCAGAGTTTTTTGATCTCCCACTAGAAGAGAAAAATATGTATGCAATGGCTTCAAATGACATTCAAGGGTATGGACATGCATATGTGGTCTCTGAAGAGCACAAACTAGACTGGTCAGATGCTTTCATACTTGTCACTTACCCTTCCAACTATCGGAGGCTTAGATTTTGGCCAACCACACCAACCGGATTCAAGTACATTCTCTCTAACTATACCAAATAAATAACAATTTAGATTTTCATCTGTAAACCAAGAAGTTTGTTAATGCATAGAAACTATTGAGGGATATTTAATTGAAGTAAGAAGAGTCGCAGAGGAGCTTATAGGTTCAGTCTCAATAATTATGGGAATGGACAAGGGTACTGTATTAGCAATGCACAAAGAGTTGATGCAAGCCATGCGTGTGAACTACTATCCCACCTGTTACAAGCCTGAGCAAGTACTTACTGGGCATAATAAGCCCACATTTGGACACAAGCACCTTACCCATACTACTGTAAGATGATATCCTCGATGGGTTGCAAATTCAGCATTGTGGAGAGTGGGTGCCTGTTAATCCAATTGCAAATGCTCAAGTTGTGAACATTGGAGATATCATCGAGGTACAAATTCATCAGTTCGTTAATAATTTCAACAATTTCTTCTTCTTTTCTTTTAAAAAAATTGCACCATGAAAATTTTATGATTGGCTAAACAATAGAACATGCAAAACTAAACAAAAATGTTAAATATATCAAAAGACTTCATTAATTTTTTTTGCTCTTATCATTGCAGATTTTGAGCAACGGGAAGTACAAGAGTATTGACCATAGGGCTGTGACAAATGAGAATTAAGTCTAGGATTTCATTTGCAACATTTTTCTTCCCACACGATGATGTGGAAATTGAACAATGGTAGATCCCAAAATGCCCCTTAGGATATACAAGAAAGTTAGTTATGGAGATTATCTTCAGCAAAGCATGAAAAAGAGAATGCAGGGGAAGACGCACACTGAGATGGCAAAGAGCAGAACTTAAGAGCATACCTTCACTTTTTTCATCCTCTTGAATTGATTTAAAATGCAAGCTTTCTTCACATCATGAATGTTTGTGATGTACAACAAAGAATCCAAATTATGGCTTGTTTCTTAGTCTGTCAGAGTCACAGATGGAGATGAATTAATATGATCTTCCTGTATGGTAGTTTAAGCTTTCATGTCAAAACTAGAAAACGATATACGAAGTGCATAAAGGCACTCAGTGATCAAATAAAAATCACAAATTTCAAAGAAGTATTAAAAAGGAATAAGAAATCACGCTTAAGAGCTTGAACTGAACCCAACTACAACTTAGTTGATGGGACATGCATGATCTCAGATAGTTTTCTCTTCAACTATATCGAACCCTATACAAAACAGTTGGATAAACATCACCTCACCATCCATTTTTTTTTTTTTTTTTTAATTAAGTTTTGTATGAAACCACTGTTGGGTTTTAATCCATACAACTTGTAGAAATAAAAAATAGAGCAATAACCTTTTTTTTTTTTTTTTGATAAGTAAAAAAATATAGCAATAACTAAAGAGAAAAATTTAGCAATCACGCCTGATTGACGATAAACCTTGAGTACCTTTGAGATTTTTCTGTTTAGAAGAGGTCCTAAAAAGCAAATAACAGAGCTAAAAATCATACACACAGAGAGGGGAAAAAAAACTATAATTACCGATAAGAAAAGGAGAGGAAAATGATACAGAAAATAGACATGTCTCCTTGCTTATAAATTTTAAGCATATGTGTTAAATGCAGTAGTGCCCAAGATGGATTAGTGCCTATTTTTATATAAATCATTCAGCAAGAACAATAATTTCCATACAAGCAGATAAATTAGAAACTAGTTGACAATTACTTAAAACCACTTAAATGTTCAATGAGTGAAGCAGTTAATCATTTCAATCTCTGCCTCATTTATAAACGCTCCCTTCTGTCAATTAAAGTTCGAAATTCTCTACTAATGAATGATGAGCTGACCGAGGGAAGACTCACACAATTGCAGAAGCTTTTGATGGACGGAGATGCTGGACCTCTCTCTCACTCCCACAAGCACACACATTACAAACACATAATCCTGCTATATAAGATTAAATAAAAAACTTGAACAATGCCAACCTCGTCATATATCTTCTTGTTTCAAAGCCTAATGCCTGTCTCTTTATCACAAGTACAACCTCTAGTTCACCAACTTTTTCTTCCTTTTATTTATTTATTGTGTATGTATGAATTCATTCATATGTCCATAAAAAAAAAACTGAATATTTTCTCTCTCTTTTGTTTTTTTGTGCTTTTTGGTTGCAGATGGGCCACAACTCATACAGGTTAACAACTGCAAAGAAAGCATATGGTCCGGAATACTCGGCGATGCAGGCCACCCTACCCCTAAAGATGGTGGTTTCCACCACGGAAGCGGCGAGGAAGTAGTCATGGACGTGCCTGAGAAGTGGTCAGGGAGGATATGGAGCAGGCAAGGTGGTTGTTTTGACAATAATGGTAAGGGCACATGTGACACATGTTCGGGCCTACTACACTACCAGGGAATGGGTGGTGTACCACCTGCAACGGTGGTGGAGATGACACTTGGATCATCAAACTTACCCTTACATTTCTATGGTTGATGGTTTTAACTTGCCAGTTTCAATGGCCCCTGTTGGGTTTGGAACTGGATGTGGCATGGCGTCGTGTGAAATTGATTTGAACATCTGTTGTCCATCAGCGTTGGAAGTAAGGAGAGGAAGCAAAGTGGTGGGGTGTCAAAGTTGGTTATGAAATCAGCCAAGTATTGTTGCACTGGTGATTATGCAAACCCCAAAACTTGCAAACCAACTCTGTTTGCCCATCTTTTTAAGGCCATTTGCCCAAAAGCCTATAGCTATGCTTTTGATGACTCTTCCAGTCTGAACAAAATTAACAAACGCAGGGCCACACGGTATGATATTACCTTCTGCCCTCCCAAATGAGACTAAGAAAGCATTCTTGGCTTTGCAAGGAAGTTGTGGTTTGGTGCTTAAGGAATTGTTGTTCTACTTTTGATTAGGTAATAGATTTGGTTTAGTTAATGAATTTTTGTTAAGCTTCAGATGGAAGATCATGGGATGGAAAAGAATGTATGGGGACACTAGTTGTTTCTCCTCTTGATCGGAAGGAACTCATATGAGATGTACTCAGTACTATGCATATTTGCAGTTTGGCTTTCCTTCTTGTTGGGCAATAGTTAAATTTAAGATATACAATGAATAACAGGGGGACACAACTTTCACAACACATGTGCCATATACAACTTAAGAAACAGATAGTAGAAGAATAGACAATACAAATATATGTCAACTGGGGACAGATTAACAATAACAACCCCAATAACATGTCACAGACCTGAGTAACAGGCGGTGCACACGTGGTAACCCGACCCATTATGGATTAAAACACAGCTTTTAGGTAACACACACACACACACAAATGTCCACTATGGAGCTCGAATCTCTCACCAACCCCTTGTAGGAGGTGAGTTTACGCAAGCTGCACTAATGGCCCAGTGGTCAAAGCTAGTAGGTTGTGGACTCAAATTCCTAAGTGCTGTCATTTGAATTTTTTCTTTTATTTTGTCCTATTGTATTGTGCACTTGCCTAGGAAACAACAAAGGCGACCAAAAATTTCACAATCATTCTGAAAATATCAATTCCCAAATTAGTTAATTGCTTAGCGAGAATTATTTGGAGCGACCAAAGCAGAGTTTCATAACATCCAAAAGTGGCAAATTCTCCGGGCTTTTAGTGTTTGGACACAGGGAAACACTTTGAAGGGAAGGAAAAGATTCCCCTAAGCTAACAAATAAAAACTATCAGATCTGATTTGCTTATTTATTCATGAAAGCAGCTAGAAGATTGTTCAAAGCCCATAATCTACACAAATCAATAATGGGTTCAAGCAATATCGATGAAGCAGCCATGGATGAACAGGATATACCCACATATGCATCATCTCTACCAGTGCCAAATGTTCAAGAAATGGTGAGAGAAAACCCTTTACATGTTCCTGAAAGGTACATAAGAAACCATGAAGACATGCCCAAAAGTACTGATGCCACTCATCTTTCCTCTAAGATTCCTGTTATTGATTTATTACTGCTCTCAAGTGGCCGCAAGGAAGAGCTTAAGAAACTGGATTTGGCATGCCAAGAATGGGGCTTCTTTCAGGTAATAGTGAAATTAATCTGACACAATTAAACATAAGCATATTACACATACATATTGCATTTTAATTACATACAATTTACAATCCCCTGCTTCTCTATAAATTCATTTTAAACTAAAAATAGTTGAGTTCTTTATATTCATCATGTACTTCTTAAATACTCTGCAGGTGGTAAATCATAGTGTGACAAAAGAAGTGGTGCATAATTTTAAGGATGCGACAGCAGAGTTTTTTGATCTCCCACTAGAAGAGAAAAATATGTATGCAATGGCCTCAAATGACATTCAAGGGTATGGGCATGCATATGTGGTCTCAGAAGAGCAGAAACTGGACTGGTCAGATGCTCTAATACTTATCACTTACCCTTCCAAATATCGGAGGCTTAGATTTTGGCCAACCACACCAACCGGATTCAAGTATGTTCACTCTAAATATAAGAACAATGTTACTCTAAGGGATAAGTTAGGCCTAAAACACTAGCCAAATGGTTTTTACCGCTTAAATATGTTTTAAATGACCTTTGAACAGTGTTTTAGGCCTATCGTATTTGCTCAAATATCATTTTTCTATAAGCATAACAACTAGAGTTTTTATCTGTAAACCAAGACATTTTGTTAATGCAGAGAAATTACTGAGGCATATGCAAATGAACTTAGAAGAGTTGCAGAGGAGCTTATAGGTTCAATCTCACTAATTATGGGTATGGACAAGAGTACTCTCTTAGCAATGCACAAAGAGTTGATGCAAGGTATGCGTCTGAACTACTATCCCACCTGTAACAAACCTGACCAAGTACTGGGTATAAGCCCACACTCAGACACAAGCACCATAACCATATTACACCAAGATGAAAACGTCAATGGGTTGCAAATTCGACATGGTGGAGAGTGGGTGCCTGTCAATCCAATTGAAAATGCTCTAGTTGTGAACATTGGAGATGTCATCGAGGTACAAATTCTTCAGTTCATTGAACCATTTCAACAATTTCTTTCTCTTTTATTTAAGAACTTGCAAAGCTTAATAAAAATGCAAAATATATCACAAGACTTTATTAAACTTTTTCACTTTTGTTATTATAGATTTTGAGTAATGGAAAGTACAAGAGCATTGAACATAGAGCTGTGACAAATGAGAATAAGGCAAGGATTTCATTTGCAACATTTTTCATCCCGAACGATGACGTTGAACTTGAACCATTAGATAATCTGGTAGATCCCAAAACGACCCTCAGGATGTACAAGAAGGTCAGGTATGGAGACTATCTTCGGCAAAGCATGAAAAGTAAATTGCAGGGGAAGGCACACACTGAGATGGCAAAGAATGGAACTTAAGAGCATACCTTCGCTTTCTTCATCATCCTCTTTGGATTGATTTAAAATGCGAGCTTTCTTCACGTCATGAATCTATATGTGATGCACAATAAAGAATCAAAATTATGCAGCTGCTTGTTTCTTAGTCTGACTGATTGAGGGCAGTAAATGAGTAACATACTCTTGTATGATAGTTTAATCTTTCACGACAAAACTGAAAAACGAAATAAAATGAGCATGGAGGCACTCAGTAATCAAATCAGAGTCACAAATTTCAAAGACAGATTAAAAAGGATAAAAAAATCATACTCGAGAGCTTTAAAATGAACCCAACTACAACATCAATTCATAGGACATAAATCCTTTCCAATATTTTTCTCCGCAAGTATCTTTAAACCTATATCTAATCGTTAGAAAAACATTATATTATCATATTCTTTTTAATTTAGTTTTGTATGAAACTATAACATAGTAGATACTTGCATAACTGATGACATGACACATTTTTTTATCCTTAGATATAACAACGGAGAGTCGTATGCTACGTTTGGGAAGGATGAACCGCTCCCGAAAGGGAATCTATTGATTCTCCCCCCATTAATTGGACCGTAGGTGCAATGATTTTACTTCGAGTTGTTTGGAAGGAAAAAGTATTACAGGCCCAAAAAATAATAATAATAGTTTGCTAAATATTGGAGGACCAAATATGTTGAGACGAAAAGGGTAAATCGTGCCTTTCAATTCAACAATTGAAAAAGTATATTTACGATAACAGTGTACCGTGTATGTAACCCCGATAGTTTTTTACCTAAAAAACATGTCAACAATTTTGAGCCCAGATCCTCTACCGTTACATCACCGTGTTGTAGGGTATATCAACATAATTAAATCTGTTTTCAACACAGAATTAATATGTTGAAAAACAGTATAAATGTGTTAAAAAAAAAGAATTAAATGTGTTGAAAACAAAATTAATGTGTTGACAAATTACAGCACCACCAATACAGCAGACAATCGTTATAGCAGAAGATCTGGGTGCCAACAATTTTACTCTCCCTCTCTAAAATAATACGAGCCTCAGTAACATTTTAATCAACTGGTAAATGTACTTATATGCAAGCTACAATTATCTGGGAGATGGAAAAGGGCTGCCGTCATTAGATGCATTTGGTACATATTCATATTCTCCGATCCTACAAAAATTTTGGTGGAATGGGCAAAGAAGCATCTCATTAAAGGAAGGAGTTTTGGGGCCATCAAGCTCCTAGTGATGCTTCTTGGATCTGGAGGAAGCTACACCAATCTAGAGATACTGCTATAGAGTTTGGTCAACACAAAATCAGGAATGAGAATAACACTATATATATATATATATTTATTTATTATCACTGGCTACCATGTGGCCCCTTGATTCAAGCTGTATCTCTTAATCCTAGAGAGGGCAGGGTTATCAACAGATATACAAAGGTTTCTACAATTATCTCAAATGGGCAGTGGGTTTGGCCTAGAAGGTTAGGAAATTTGGTTTCAAATCTTATTAACATTCCAAACCTCCCAATCCCAAACACTAACAATGAAGATGTGATTTCATGGAAACACTCCCCAACTGGTCAATACTCTCTTTCTCATACCATCAAAGCAATATCCCAGCACTAAATATTGACGCTGGATAATTTGAGAAGGAGAAAGCATATCACGGTGAACTGGTGTTGCATGTGTAAGTGCAATGTCGGTTGACCATCTTCTTTTGCATTGTCCAGTAGCGGTTGACTGTTGGAATCTCGTTAGGCCTCTTTGGAGTTTAGTAGGTCATGCCTAGATCTACGAGAGGTTTGATGGACACCTGGAGAGGGGGTTGGTGGTGTTTGTGGAGGGAGTGGAATAGAAGATCCTTTGAAGGAGAGGAATCTTCGGTCATTGTTCTCAAATCTTCTGTTACTAGCTCTCTCTTTTTTCGGGGTTCGGGTAGATTATGTTCCTCTGCTGAGGAGACTATTGAGTTTCTGTCTTCCCTGGGGCCTTAGGGTACCCAGGTTTCTTGTTGTTTTGTAGGGACGCATTCCTCTTTTGAAAGCTTTTAATGAATTGCTTATTTATCAAATAATAATAATAATAATAATAATATCCCAGCACCAGAACTAAACACATAGGAATCCTTTGTTTTGGTTCAGCAAAATATCCCAAAACACTTTTTCTGATTATGGCTGGCTATCCAATACAAGCCTCTCACCATGGATAAACCTAGCATAAAGTTGTTCATAAACTTAATATTTGTGTATTGTGCAATATGTTTCTAGTAATTGGTATGCTCTTCAATACAAAGGTGGGTTTCATTAGAACCCTAGAAATTGGCATGAATTCCTCATTTGGGGCTTTATCCAATTGGAAAGGAAAGAAAAAATCAAGTAGAGTTCTTGTTTGGAAACTCACCTTGGCCAATTTTGAATACCATATCTGGAAGGAAAGGAATGCAAGGGTGGGTGTTCTCCAGATTGTGCAATCCACAATCGAAAACCCTAGCCACCATTTGTGAACCAATTCGCAATGGCCTCTTCTCGGTCAATTGATTTAGCTGTCCCTATGCCCGAGAAATTGCCTATACCTGGAACCTCCATACTCTTTCTTTAATCCCAATGCGAGAAACATTATTTGTGTCGCCAATTGCTAACTTCCAATGTGCTGCTTTGATCCCGCCGCGGTGGTTCAGTTACAACGGTCTGTGTCCTTGATTCAAATTGTGGGTCAAGGGCTTTAAAGGGTTAATAACTTAATTAGTTAGTTGGCTTGTTGGGCTTCAATGGGCTGCTAGTTATGGGCCTCTACATGCTTTTGTGGCCTTTGTTACGGGCTTGTTTCTCTGTGACATGCCAGTATGATTTTCAGAAGATGTGCTGATGGGTGAAATGAGACACAATGCCTATGGGCCCAACATACACACATGGTGGTGGGCTGCACAATCATTGTGTCTGCTTCAGCCATTCGGTCTTGGGCTTGCGCTATTCCTTTTTTTATTCAGTAAATTAAAATATTTTGAGTAAATGCATTATATATATCAATTTTCTCCTTACTTTGGAAGACAAAAGGAAAAATGGTACTTTGTTCAGTTGGTAACCCTAGTTTTCTAGCTGATTGGAAGATTCTTAATTTTGGTCTACAAGATGCTTTGTTCCTTTAGTTAAAACAACAATTAGATCCAAGGGGACCATTTTAAGCCCCTTCATAACTTTGGATAGATTACACAAATTTTCACTGAAGTTTGAATAAATTATACATGATAAACCGTTCAGCGTTTAGCCTTCTTTTTTCTGGATAAAAGGTTGTCCACTCAAAATTTCAAAAATATATTTTGTAAAAAAAAAAAAAAATTCTTTATATATGTTAGAATATGATATTCTAGTTTAATAACATCTACCCACCATGCATTACAAATAATTTTGTAACGATTTTTTTCAATAAATTTTCAAAGACCAAGAAAAATGCAACAAGTGACATTTTGTAATAACCGAAACAGAATTTTGAATTTGCGTTCACAATAAATATTGAAAGAAATGAGTACTAATAGAAATTTACTCTCTATAAAAAATATTGTAAAATGAAAAATATCCTCAAAAAAACAACCCATACGCAGGGCTCTGGAAGGAGCCTAGTTGGTACAACTACAATAAGACTTGTGAGCCTGGCGACAGTATGAAATACCAAACTGATATTCAATTTCCCGTATATCTGAATCAAACCATCCTTATTTTTTTAGCTTTTACTTGGTAGGTAATCTTCCTAGTTTGTTCGTTTATAGACCATATAGTTATAACAGACACTAATTAGTAATAACCAAACATATCAGTCAATCTCATCTTTGCTTGAGAAATAAATTGCTCAATTTTCCATTTATTTATCACTTCTTTGCTTAGGAGAACTAAAGGTGCATGACAGTACCCTAGCCACCAACCTGGTCAGCTTCTCCAATATTCATCCATGAGCTGTGTCCTTCATGAAAATGATAAAAACATACATATATATATATATATATATATCAAGTATTATATATCATGTATCTTTGAATGGTACTGCTTGATATATAAAAATATATACTTTGATTTACTTGGTTGCCAAGAATAACGGTTGAGATTGTTACATGTTTCAATCAGGGTCAAAATTATATAAATTAATTAGTACATGCATCAAGTGACCTCAAACTAAGCCGTGGAATATGCTGCTTAACAGACAAGTGAATAGGATATTATTTGTAAATTTCATTATCTTTCTGGATTTTGTTCTTTAATCATAACTTTATGTGTCTGAACACTGGGCTATTAAATTATTATTATTATTTTGCTACGCTATGATGCCAATTAAAGAAACCTAGACCGGCAAAGTAAAGTTATATTGAATGAATCTCAGGCCAAAAAGGGAAAGAAAGAACTTTTAGCTAGCCTTCTGGTAAATTGGACATGAACCAGTGTATGGTTCAGTGACTTCAGTTTAACATATAGGATGCTGAGAAACTAATTAACATTTGATAATATTTGTGTCGAATAACTGATATGATATTCGAACCCACAACTCAGATTGATGTTTAAACATTTAACATTGCCACTTAGGTTTTTGGGTAGTTAATTCATAATAGTGATGCATATCATAAATTCATAATGCATGATTATTTTGTATTTGAATGTCATGTAACACAGGGGGGATTGACATGATCTCCACTGGAAAACCTCCATTCTCCTTAATCCCCGGAGAACCAACCACCAGAAAGAATTGCTAATCATGCTTAAATCAGTCATATATGTACGTATGTGTATAATGCATATAAAAAACACACACACAAACACACATATATCACATAACACTAACTGGTATCATTAAAACATAAAAGAACACATGCACCTTTACTATTCCAAGAAAGTGTTTGTTAGACTAATATATTTATCAAAAACATATTAAGATACAGAAGTACAGGGAGAGAATTAAATTTCACTATCTTTGGTAGCTATCATTTGGGAGATGTGATGGTCAAAATCAAATCTCATTAGTTCATGTAGAGAATCTGTGAGGGAAAGAGAAAGTGGGAAGACAAACTAGATTGTCTTTGACAACACTCTAAAGTTGTTTTCTAGCAACTGCTGGTGCTAACAAATTAAATTGCTAGTG